AGCGGGCAGTCACCCCTGTCTGAGATCTCCTTATCTTGGAAAACCTAGATGGCCATAGAGCCTGGGCTAAGTACCTTTACGTCAGTTGGGCACCAGGGATTGGACCCACATGAAAGAACAGCAGTGGAGCCTTTGTATTTGCTTGAAGTCTTACCCGATGCTCGTGCCAGCCTTGTACACAGAATGCCTTACCCCTGCTTCCAATAAATGTCAATAATGTTCTACATCAGAGTCTGATCTACTGGTCTCGCTGATATTTTTTCTTAGCTTTAAACATGCATGAACCCAGTCCATTTGATCCATAAGGAGATTTCTTTCTTGTACTGTTTTCCTTAAAGTGAATTCTGTTTGATTTGGATTCGGATCCGTTTCTGAAGGCCAGGGATGGGCTGAATTACATGTATTCTCATTGATCTTCTGATCACCTGCTTCATCAAAGTTTCCTGATCCAAATTTAGTCTCCTGCTGAAGGCCGCCTCACAAAAGAAACACGACCTCGTCACAGATTCCTAGAGTGACATGACATTGTTATCAAGGCTTCATAAATTGTGAGGTACTACATAAAATCCAAAGATACAGCTCTGACAAAAGTACCATAGTCACCGCACCAGTATAATATTGATGGACCTCCTAAGTTCTAATCGGCCGTCATCGTTATTACTGTACTGTATGCTGGTTGTCTCCCATTTATCTGTTTCATTGGGGCAAGGTCCTGTGACTGGACACAGGTAGTAAACAGACTGTACAGTACTTGGAGGCTACAGGTTCGAATCTTGCTTCTTAGGAGCTGTTCATCTGAACATTTGCATTTTTATACATCTTATAAAACTGTTTTTTTAATTGAACAAACTTGAATGGACATCTGTATCTCTTAGGATAAGGTTCCAGTGGACAAGCGGCAGTCATGAAAGGTAAAGGTTCTCAGGGGTCAGAGGCAATACACTTCATTGTTTTTCCAAGTTAAGGTACTCGAACTTAAGACCCTCAGATCATTGCTGTCTGCTAGCTCTGATACACATGCTGGTTGGAGTGGTTCTTATTTATCATCACAGTGTTTGTTGGTGTTTGGGATGATTCCTGGTTTTCCAGAAGACCCCCCTTGACTGAGGGGTGAGACACAAAAGGAGTTAATCTGTTGATTGGTCAACAATCCTTCAACCATAAGGAGTCTTTGATGGGATTGGTCAGTGCCCAGACTGACCACAGCTATTCGTTGATGTCATTGGTCCAGAGGAAAGTCATTGACCACCTTCTTCAGGGACAAGTTGTCCAGGATCAGTCACTCTTGTAAATAAAGTGTGCCAACAAGGTTTTCTTGAGAGAGGTTAGACCTTCAGTTGATATTTTATACCTCTGTGCATCCATTTCTCATGGATCTTCTGGTTGGATCTTAGGTTATGTACAGTAAAGTTAGTTTGATATTGGACATTGGACATTCCCATTGGTTTGTACAGCAAATGTTTGAATGGCAATTCACTGTACAACATATGTAAATGTCTAATCTCTAAAACATGGAACATCTGCTGTACAAACCTATGGGAACGTCAAATGTCAGGAAAAGTCAGAAATTTGGTTTAAAAAGTTTCATACAAACCGATGGGATTGTCCGATATCAAACTAATTTTACCGTCATCTTTACTTAACATACACAGACAGTCAGTGTCAGAGTTAAGAGCCATTAAATTGTTTCTTGTCAAGTAGATTACATGTGTACAGTTCTACATGCATATGGACACCTGTGACTTTAATTGGCCCTGATGGGATGGTCTTTATTGTTACATGTCATAACTGATGCCTGTACATGATGTAGACTATGATTAGTCAGGAAATATGCCTTTTTGATGCATATGAACATGCATGTACATGTACCAACATACTGTACATGTACGTTAGACTAACATCAGCAAAACGTCAGCATTAACCCAGTTCTGTTGTAAAAATTGTGTTGGCACCCATGCCATAATACAGATGTAACCCACAGTATTTATCACCCCGAGTCATGTCAGGAATGAGAGGAATTTAATGCAGTTTACCCTGTTATTACTTGTAACAACATACATGTACATGTAGTGAATGGGGCCCAGTCTGGTAACCAGTGAATTTCAGTCATCAATCTTGTTCCAGCCTTGATTGTTGTAGAGTTAGTTACTGGCAGTAGAATGGCATTTTAGTTGTTCAAACAACATGGGGGGGCCCTGGATTGTCTGAGTCTACTCTTGGGCCCAGTTCGCAGAAATACCGATCTCTCTGGTGGAGTTGGTGGGTTAGGGTTTAAGCCAACAGTATGTGACGTAGGGCTTGTCCCTGGATGAAGTGTACACACCACAACTGGTGTTAAGTGAATGTACAAATAAATGTGGAGTGGGTGACTTATAACAGCCTGGCAGCAGGCATGTGGGTAGGCGAGAGAATGCTTGTTGACCTTTTTAAAAGGTGGTCTTTTGTAAAGTAAAAAGTGTGTTGCTGTTACTTCTGAATTCACAAGTGAGAAAACAGTTTGATTGAGCCTTTGAGGATTATCTTCAGAAGGTAGGCCACAGTTACTCAAGTAACGTTTGGGAGTGTTGGGTGCAGTTATGTTTTTCAGATTCGTTTTGTTGGATTTTGTTGATTTAGTGGTAAAATGCATTTCTCTAGCAGAAACTACGCTTATGTGATGTAGGATCAACTTTGTGCTAA